AAATGGGGGAGGGGTGGGGAGGGAGGGAATGGGGGTGTAAGGAGTGGGAGGGGAGGAAGGAGGGAGAGGGTGTCTGTCGTTCCCTGACAACAGAGCAGAGACTCCCCCTGTGGAGGTACAGGGACAAAGTATGTCGGTCCCACTGGGTCTCTGTATTTTGAACAAAAAGGCTGATTGAGGAAACACAGGAGGGAGGGGTGGGGGAGAGGCGTGTGACATGATTTGGGAGTTGTTGTTTTTTTGCCCTGACTCATCATACAGACTGAAGCAGACGTCGAGAAATATTCGAAGAATCAAGAAGTAGAGAACTTCCTCTCTCCCTATACCGTCAGGTACATAAGGCGTAGAGCAGTCAACGCCACACTTGTCTGTCCCTCGCCACGTCCTCCAATTTCGGCACATCCAGGCCCTGGGTGATTGCCTCATCCCTTGTTGGGCCTCTATAGCTTCCAGTTTGTACCAAGATCACTGGTTCTTACCTACACACGTTAGGTCACGAAGAGATGCTTCTTGCCTCCAAAATCCTCTTTTAAAAAAATAATTAGCGGACGATAACCGTCCACCCGATAGAAAAGAGGGTCAGATTTCTCCGTCCCTCGGTATGCCTCGGACAGTTTCTGCTAAACCAGTGGGCACAAGGCCGGAGGAGTAGCGGAGAACAGAAAAGGCTCCTAAATCCTCTTGCAAGAATTGTCAGTCCACTCAAATTAATGACCGGCCGGCGTCTAACCTAACCACAACCTTTTCACCACTAGGTACACAGTACTCACTGCCGCAATCACGCTTCTCGTACGAGTGAGTTCTTGCTCACACTTTCTTACACACCACAAAAATGTCAACATAAATACGCACATTGCCGATTTGTCCAAAAACAACCAACACAGTTGGTCTACCTCTTTTTCTTTTTCCAGTTGGTCTCCAATATGTACCATGTCTGATAGGGCAGTCTTGTCTTCGGCCTTAGAGCATGTCCTAGATGTCTGCATCGTGTCCTTTTTATGGTTGTGTTGATATCTTCAATCCCAGCTCTTTCTAATACGGGTGCCCACTACGGCTGGATCGGGCCGATCGCCCGACTCGATCGCCTAAAAAACAAACGTGTTTGTTTTCAGTTTCAAGCGATTGAGTCGGGCGATCAGCCTGATCCAGCCGTAGTGGGCACCCCGTATAAGACTTAAATACAGTAGTAAAATTCTTCGATTCAAGAGACGGGGTGAGTATTTTTCGAGACTCACGTTGAGACGTCTAGACAACCGGGGGATGAAATCTACAAGCTTATACTGAAATGTGGGGGTAGGGTGGTGTCGCTGTCTCAAAAGGAGCAATCTGTTGGCAAGGTTACTGTAAGTCATTTATTTTAGTGATCCTGTGTATGCACCCAAAGAGCGGGTTTTAACATAGGGCCCAAAGAGAAAAACTTTTAAATTACTGGTTCAAGATTAAAAATAAATAAATTTTTGTTTGGTCGCTGGCTTTCAGAAGTGCCATGCAAAGTTTCGTGGGCATAAAAGTAAATTCCCCAATGAGCTAGAATTTGTTGAACGCGGTCAGACGAAAGTGAACAAGCTATTATGTGTATGCAGACAATGTGCTATGTGTGTGTACTGTGTAGTGAATGTGTAGTAGATGTGTACTGTGTTTGTGTGTGTATGTGCGTACATGTGTGTGTGTGTGTGTGTGTGTATACATGTATGTGTGTGTGTGTGTGTGTGTGTG